CTTAACTCACTGAGCCACCCAGATACCCCTATACCACCACCACCACCTCTTCTTCCTCCTCCTCCTCCTCCTCCTTCTTCTTCTTTTAAGTTATTCATGTATTTTGAGAGAGAGAGAGAGCATGGGAGGGGCAGTGAGAGAGGGAGAGAGAGAATCCCAATTAGGTTCTGTGCTGTCAGTAAGGAGACTGATGCAGGGCTCAAACTCATGAACCACGAGATCATGATCTAAGCTGCATTCGAGAGCTGGACAATTAACCAAGTGGCCACCAGGTGCCCCATACCACAACTTTATTCATTCATCTATTGATAGACACTGGCTTGCTTCCATATCTTGGCTACTATAAATAATGCTGCAATAAACATAGAGGTGCGTATGTCTTTTTGGATTAGAGTTTTTGTTTTCCTTGGTAAATACCCAGTAGTAGAATTAGTGAATCATATGGTATTTCTATTTTTAATTTTTTGAGGAACCTCCATACTGTTTTGCCAGAGTAGCTGCACCAATTTACATTCCTACCAACAGTGCATAAGTGTTTCTTTTTCTCTATATCCTTGCCAAATACTTGTTATTTCTGTCTTTTTTTTTTTTAATATTTTATTTGTAAGTACCAATGTGGGGCTCAAACTCACGACCTTGAGACCAAGAGTCCCATGCTCACTGACTGAGCCAGCAAGGTGCCCCTCTTGTCTTTTTGATTCTAGTCATTCTGACAGGTGTAAGATGATATATCTCAGTGTGGTTTTGATGTACTTCCATGATAATATGATACTGAGCATCTTTTCATGTATCTATTGACCGTCTGTATATCTTCTTTAGAAAAATGTCTATTCAGGTCCTCTGCCCATTTTTAATCGGGTTATTTGGGGTTTTTTGGTGTTGAGTTGTATAATTTCTTTGTATACTTTGGATATTAACCCCTTATTGAACATATCATTTGCAAATATCTTCTCCCATTCAGTAGATTGCCTTTTTGTTGATGGTTTCCTCCTGTGCTGTGCAAAAAAATTTTGTTTTTTGTAACCAAAGGGAATATTTAATCTTCTGAATCCTTTCTTACCGGAACAGTCAGTGGACTGTTTTCTTACCATTGTGATTTTCATGAGTATGCCCTATGCCCCTTAAAACTAGGATAAAGTTGGGCCAGGATACACCAGAAATCCAGGAATACCATTCACAATATACGGAAGAGATTCGTCACCTTAGGGAAATTTAGCAAGCCTATAAAATCCTCTTAGAATATGTAATAATTATGAAAATTTTAACGATTGGCGTTTTAGTGTTAGTGTCATTTCCTGTGAGAAATTATATCGTTAACTTCCTCTAGTCTCTTCTTTCTTTTTAAAGATGCTGTTTTTTTTGTTTTTTTTTTAAATGTACATTTGAGAGAGAGAGAGTGTATGGACAAGCAGGGGAGGGGCAGAGAAAGAGCGGGAGAGAGAGAATCCCAAGCAGGCTCCTGATGTCAGCACAGAACCCAGTAAGGGGCTCAATCTCACACACCATGATATCATGACCTGAGCCAAAATCAAGAGTTGGACGCTTAACTGACTGAGCCACCCAGGTGCCCCTAGTGTAGGTAAATAATTAAAAAGCTTGCCCATGCTACTGATCAAATTGATGAAATTAAATAACACGTAACCCAATTTTGGCTAGCAGAATTGTAAGACACTTTTATAATTAAAAAAAAAATTGTTAGTGTTTATTTATCTTTGAGAAGGGGAGAGAGTACGAGCAGGGGAGAGACAGGGACACAGAATCCAAAATAGGCTCTAGGCTCTAAGCTGTCAGCACAGAGCCCAATGCAGGGCTCGAACCCGTGAACCATGAGATTATGACCTGAGCTGAAGTTAGACACCTAACTACTTAAACAACTGAACCACCTAGGGGCCCAGCACTCTTATAATTTTATCTTATTTATTTTATTATTTTTTTTCTTTAATTTTAATTTTTT